TCCCATCACAGGGAGCTCGGGAAGAAGACAGCGAAAGCGAGCTCTCGTTCCCTCAGGAAATGCGGGTTCGAGTCTCGCTGTGTCCATCTTTTTGCTAAATGTGTGCGCTGTAGGCCCGGGTCGATCATGGAAAAGGGGGTGAATGAAAGAAAGCACGAGAGTAAGCAAGTGAGTCAATTTCCGCAACTGAATACGTAAGTCACCCATCGGAGAACTGCGGCCATCATTGCCGCGGCACGACTACCCCTTTCTTCTCCGCGCGCGTACCAATATCTGGATGTAGCTATGTATTTCATACCTGCAACAGATTGCAATTACAGGGCACGTGGTCTAACGGTAAGGCGCCGGCGACAGTAGCGGACCAAGCTTATGCTACATATGCAGTAACGTGACATGATAAATGCCCTTGCGGACAGTTGATCATCCGGGAAGTTTGACGCCGACTTCTTTCGGAGATGCGGGTTCGAGTTTCGCCGTGTCCATATTTTTGCTGAAGTATTGCGCTGCAAGTACCATACCACTTAAGAAGTAAGAGTCGTTATTGAGTTCACCCTAATTTCATTCAACGTGCTATGCGAAGTAATCCCTCTGCGCCCTGTGTTTAGAGACTCTGCGTCTTCATCGAGGGCCATCACCCATTCCTCGGTGTTGCGGGCAAATATGTCATCGTTGTCGTCATCTTTTCCAGCCTTCTTGGCCTGTTTTGACTTTCCTCTTCCAGTCTTGTCCCGATCAGAATCAATTAGTGGTATATAAAGAGTCTTTGGTAGCTTTGGTTGTGTGGAGTTGACAGTTGACTTGCCACCGAATACACTGCGTCGACTTTTCGTACCCAGCTTCTGTGCAGATGCACCCGTGTTCCACTGTCGTGGCGACGGATCCGACTCCGACTCACTGTCACTCTTGTCGCTAGGATCCAGTTCATCACTTGGTGGGAGCACAAACGGACTAGATGTGCGAGATAGCGGCTTTTCTGTAGGTTCTCTTTCGACGGCGGGGGTGAAGATAACACTCTGCAGATCCTCATCATCTGTAATCTGAGTAACCTGTATGGGGTCCCACACAGTGGTCTCCCTTTGAGTGAATTGGTTGGATAATTTGGATGCGAACTTGTCCAGCAATGTATCAAAGCTGACCATCCAAGCCTGTACGCTTTTGATAACACTATTCTGGAGCTTCTGCATATCCTGCGCTTTGAGGATATTGTCGATTGGAAAGCTGCGTAGCTTTGCATTCGTTGTACCACCTGCATCGTGAACAATTATGGTCGCTGCGCTCAACTCCAGAGGCGCCCGAGCAAGGGTATATTTCACGGATATTCTCGAGATCCCCGAGGTACCGACAGACGAGACCGATTCCGAGCGCTTTGGGGTCACCATGCTAAGACCTGGTGTCTCTTCCTGCTTTTCCTTGATATGAAGGCGAACTTTGCTCAACATCATGTCCCACACTACACCCGCTGAGCTTACGCGGAACTCGTGTGGTACACGACTGTGTCGCAACAAAGCGCAATCTACCTCTTCCGACCATGCGGTGGTTTGCGGCTCACGTAATTTCCCGAGGTCTTCAACGAGTCGGCACACTTTGGCGCCTGTTGGATATTATCGTAAAGCCCTTTGTTGCGAAGGTACTTGATAAGATCCTCAAACGGGTACGAAAAGTCTGAATGATCTAGGTCAAACCCTTTCTCCACGTCACTCTTCCGCCCTATTGTCTTGCCATGAGGTAGCCGCTCGTTATACCACCCCGCCGGTAACGTGGCATCCCACGTCTCTCCGTCCACCACCCATATTCTTGGAGCCATTATATGTATCGAGCGATTATGCGCGGAATGCGTTGAGGCGAAGGGTGTCAAATCGGGCGATTGTGAGCGGAATGTGTCGAGGCGGAGCGCGTCGAGGCGAAGTGCATCGGATTGAAGCATCAGGGTGGTGTGCGTGGAGTTTGTATATTACGGATCTAATAAACAGTAAGTATAAGACGAACGACTGAAGCATGCATCTTCCGAACCAGACCAGTGCTGTGGTACCTCGTATAAAACTAAAATTGCGCATCCCAGTCCGCGGAATACGTCCTGCGACGCGGTATTCCCAATGAATGTGCGCACGTGTGGATGACAACCGCGAGAAAAATTGAAGCATCATCCCAAGAGATGAAAGACACGATACGATTAGCAAGGTATGAGTTGTTGAAGTAGACATTAGAAGGTAGGATGAAGGAATAGAAAAAGCAGCTAGGGAGCCGCATAAGTTAGTCCTCGCCGAGTGGACGCTGCTCGACGGCAATCGACACTGCTCGACCGTGGTCGTGCTGCATGAGAGGCTAAGGCAGTCCACAAACGAGGGTGATACATTAGTGGCAGTCTACAAAGTAAGGTTAACACGCCCACAGTCCAGCACGCTGCTCGACGGTGAATGACGCTGCTCGAGAGTAGATGGCTGTGAGTCTATGACTACAACGGGACATGTACGAGAATAAGACACTGCAAGATACAAAGCCAACACATAGAGTAAGCTCGAAATTAGTATGTAAACTAGAAACAAATATATGAGATGCATGACTCAGAGCAATGCTACCCTCCTCTCTCCCTCCCTCCAACTAGCTAGCTTTGAACAGCAGCTAAGTAGCACGTGTATGTAGTAAGAGAGAAAAGGAAAGACCGTATAAGGTCACGAAGAGACATACTGTTACTCTTGCTCTGCTCCATCACCCTGTCCTACCATAGCGTCGTCATCCTTCTTGGTGACAGCAAGTAGTGGCAAGAGTCGCCTCTTGCCTGGACGTTCTACATGCCTCACTGCTCGCTTCCCCAGCTTGTACTCTTCGCCAGCATCCTTTGCCAGCGCCTCTCGAGCTGTCTCTACCCTCTGCGTTAAAGACAGCTCTAGACGCCGACCATAAACCCGCTCGAAGAATCTCGACTGTGAGAGGGCTCCAGTTGATATCGCGTCACTTTCATGTTCGATCTCGGACAGGAACTCTAAGAACGGGGATGCGGCACCAAAGGCTTTGTGGTGTGCTAGTCGTTTAGGCGCGGGTGCGTGTTCCAGTGACGCCGTGCTCAGTTGTAGTGGTGCAGGCTGTATCGCCTTCATGATCGTAGAAATCGCAATTTCATCAAACCGCTTCGTCTTTCCCAGCCACACCCGCTGGTCATGGGTCGAGCACGAGTCGACGTACAATGTGGGCCGTAACGCAGCAGGTAACATGCCAATCGGCTGACAATAAGACTCGAACGGAATAACATCGGCAGTCCTGGAGGATACCATATACGAAGATGCGGTAGTCAGCAGAGCTGGTCTCAGAGAGGTGCCAAAAGCGAGAATGCTCGCCATGTCAACAAAGCGCTCCAGAACCAGAAAGGCATGGGAATCCGGCTTGAACGATGCGCCGCTGCTCGATTAAAACTCTCTGGATGGGGTACACCTAAGATGACCCTGTAGGGCTTGTTTTCGTTGCGATCGGCCAACGTGTGGTAGTCTAACCAGATAAACGCACGTATATTCCGGCTATGGGTATTGGGTAGGCCTTTCGGAATACAGATTTCCTTAATCAAGCGTGCGCGTGGGGACTGGAGTTGAACGACATGCTGTGTTCGGTTGCCCCAGGCGGTGACGACAGGGGAGGTTGAGATTCCCAATAGGCTTGAGCTTAGGTCGTACGCATGCCTGTCCAAACCCATTCCAGTGGTCAAGATATCTGCATTTGGATCATGGTGTACAAATCGACCGACTATACGCTCTATCCGCCTTGGCTCAGCATCCATCAGAAACACGCCCACCCTGGCTGCCGGCGTATTCTCTTTCTCTAAACCAAATTTGGCGAGAACAGATAGAATCGAGAGGTTTGAGTGATTGCAAATCGTGCCGAAGTATGGATTGTATCCTGTTATAGTAGGGTAATTTAAGACCACGGTCATGCCGCCGTTTGGGTTTCCCCAGGGTTTTACGAGGAAGCGGGGGTCCCTGCCTGTTGCATCATGGTCGATATAGAGATACTGCTCCCAGATGGTGTCAATGATGCCGCCGTTGTCAACACTTGTGGTGTTTCGTGGCCTCTCGCTCCAACGCAGGAAACCGGACAGGGGCAGCCGCTCAGCCGAGCTGTGCCTCGAAGATCTGATCAAAGAGAGATGTGAGGTCCCTCTCTACGCTGGTGCCGACGAGATTATAGAAGTCGCGCATAATCTATCCTGAGAGGGTGTCGCTGCCATCAAACGATCTGGAGAAACTGCAATAGCTGAATTGGCCGATGCGCCTGCCTGGTAGTCCTGTGTATCCTCAAAACATGTTCAGCAAACTAGCTAAAGCATGAAACGTCCTTGAAGATAGACAGGCTGTTCTTATAACTACTATCCGCTAGGGTCGCACCTGATAGATCGCTGGTGTATGGCACATGGATTATACCTGCTGGAACACCCGTAGGCATGACGGTACTCCTCATGCAAATGGACGAGAATGTTTACCCTGAGCCCCAAGTTTTCAATCCCGAGAGGTGGATGAATGCGGAGACGCGGAGGAAGGCCGATAGGACATATGCACCGTTTTCCAGGGGAACAAGAGTCTGTCTCGGAATGCAGTAAGTTTCTTATTGTTTTATAGTCTTGATAGCTGCGTCGTGACGTGCTTTGGACATACTGACTCAAATGGTAGGCTCGGATGGGCTGAGCTGTACATGACTGTGGCTGCACTTGCCCAACGCTTCGACTTCACTCTGGAAGGTGCAGGTCCAAAGGATGTCGTATGTGCATCGGACCAGTTTATCATCGGCACGGAAGATTCAAGCGGATTGAAATTGCACGTGTCCAAAGCAGCAGAGTGAACAGGAGGTGTATGTGTCTGGACTACTATGTATATCGACTGGAAGCTTCTACGAGTCCGCGTGATGTTGGGCCGCGAATTGGTGAAGCGGTTAAGGCAGGGGAAGGAAACACGAGCAATAGTATGCTGACTGATCTAGATGTGTTTGGCAAACCTCTACACTCTCATCAAAGCTATGACGGGCACGTGGTCTAACGGTAAGGCGCCGGCTACTGTGAAAGTAGGACCTCGGGGATTCCTCGGAGGCGAGCGTAACGCCACTGATTTCAACGTCGTTATCGTCTTCCGGAGATGCGGGTTCGAGCCTCGCCGTGTCCATATATTTTGCTTCGGTCGTTCCCTCGTGACGTCTTTCTAGTAAGGAACTTGACGAAGGTGTGTTGGTGGGAGAGAACTGAGGTTGGGATCGGAAAGTGATGCAGGGCTAAGCGAAAGCACGTCCATGTGCAAGGCTGAGGCCGGGGCTGAGACACGAGCACCGCCCTCTCTTAAAACCAACCATGTCCTCCAGCTTACATACCCTAGGTTTATACGATAACTATATACTGAGGATTGCCAGTACAGTTTTCGTCAGACTCGTCGTCTCTCATTTCCTATCTCCAAGAAGCGCGTCTTGTCCAACCCAACATTTCAACTCGATCGTGCGGCGAGCTGCTCACAACTTCCGTAATCGAAATGTCTACCCCGGAGCATTCGGACTCTTCGTGCGCTCCAACGCCTGCGTCATGGGTAGAATCATGCGGTAACTCCGAAGAGGGAGCGTTGCCCGCCGAGGAAGCCGCCGCAACTGAACTCGATCGTCGTCCCTGGCTTGCGACGCCATTGAGTCCCGACCGACCACAAATTCGCGTTATCAAGTTACAGAGAGGTTCTGATGACGATCTACTTACCTGTGACCTGAGTGTCGCGAGTCTAGACGAAAACCCGAGCTATGAGGTGCTGTCATACGTTTGGGGCGATGCAAGCAACACCGAGGAGATAGCAGTAGGAGGTGTTTCCTTTCACGCTACCAGGAACCTAGCCGACTTCTTGCGTTGCCTGCGCCTGCCTTATCGAGAGCGCACGATATGGGCTGATGCAATTTGTATCAATCAATCGAATCAGGAAGAAAAGAGCCATCAAATTGGTTTAATGACCGACATTTATCGACATGCCGAGGAGGCACATGTTTGGTTCGGTCCATTTAACTCAGACGCATGGTTTCTCGACATAGCGGGCAATAAAGACTACACACTGGCTCTTGAGCTGGACCCGGCCGGATGGTCCAACTACGAGCGTCACGTCATGACCACTCTCAAATACTTCGTCAAGCAGGATAGCTTCAAACCGATTAACGCGGTCGAGTTAGATCAATTCAGCACACAATGCGAAACAGACATATTCACAACTACTTTGGCAACACTGGACAAAATGGCTGAAGAGAACCATCTCTATACATATCCAGTCTTCAGCTACCACGAACACGACAAAGCCAATCGAGAGTATCGGGTAAATAGATCTTGGCTCTTGGTCATTGACTGTATCCGCTGGCTTCTTCTTCGACCATGGTGGTCTCGTGTCTGGACGCTGCAGGAAGCGGTGTTGCCAAAGGTCGATCCCATCGTCCATGCTCCTCCATATTCGTTTAGGCTCTCTCGAATACTCGGAGGCATACAATCTATGATTTATCACAACAACTCAATATGTTGTAAGTGGTTTGGCGCCCCAATCACGACCAGCGCCCGAGAATCAGCGTCGTTGAATGGCTTCAGTCAAGCCCTCGCCATCTTCAATCAACGCGACATGTTGGCATTGAACGAGGAAGGCATGGGTGTACCGCTAGATCTTGTTTTCTCCGCTATGCAAACACGCAAAGCAACGGAGGTAAGAGATTACTGGTATGGTTTGTTTGGCTTCCTTCCAGCGCAATGGCAGGAAATGAGCAAGTCTACCCCAGGGGACGCCACCACTGCAGGACTCTTTTGCCAATTTTCTAAACTCTTATACTTACAGTGTGAGGATCTCACCTATCTCGACCTTGCGCGACGAGGACGGCGCAGCGAAATACCCGACCTACCATCATGGGCCTTCGATCTGACATCCCGGCGCCACGACCATGATGAGGACTACCACAGGTGGATATTGTATAATGCAACACTTGGCCAGGACTTCAGTCCAGAGATCCCTTGGTCGGAGCTCCAGACCCTCACCCTCACTGTCGAGGCGATTCGCGTCGCTTCCGTGCAGACTGTCGCTGAGTGTGCATTGCCAAAGAGCTACAACGAGGCAGACCTGTTGCGTTTAGTACTAGAATGGCGGAAAACCTATAATTCGGGTGTTCGCCATCCCAATGACGATGCTTTCTGGCGAGCTATCTTGATGGATGCGAATGTACAAGTACATTGGAGAGCGCGGCGCCAAAGGTCTCTCAGCGCAGAAAGACTGCAAGATGTCCAAGACTGGTTTCGCTCGTGGACTCGCACGAAAGACCGTCGTGATCTCACTTGCGACAGAAAGGCTGGAGGTATTACGAGGGGCCTTTATCACTACCGTGCAGTGCAGCGCAACGCCGACAAGACACAATTTTTCGTTACTTCACAAGACTTGCCAGGCATGGGGCCATTTGACATGACGGTCGGTGATGAAGTGTATGCTGTAAAGGGTTGTAAAGCATTGATGATCTTGCGGCCAACAGAAAGATTGGGTGAAAGCGGTTTTTTGGTAATCGGTGTATGCTTCGTGGACCGATGGATGTATGGGCGGGCAGCGCAGGGCAGGCCAAGGTGGGAGAAATTGCAGCTCTTCTGATGCCCGAATTAATTTCTTCTTCGCGCGCACATCCATTAGAAACAGAATACGGTAGCGGGTTCTAGTACAACATTTCTTGCACTTGTCAACACTGAGAAATCTTCTCACCAGCCAGCTGTAACTCAACATGTAGATTTGGCAAAGGGTCCACTCCTATCCCCTCGCCATAATGGTGATCCTCCATGGCTGATACCACCTATCTCCCGCTTTTGAATTGCCGTATTTCCAGGCTTCCGCCATTCCTTCACCGCTTCCCGGTATTCGAGGCGGCTCGAGGATCGCAGCAAGCCCTCTCTGCTATTTGACCTTCCTCGCTACTCTTCTCTTTCTTTGCTTTCCCCCTCAGGCGAGCAGATACATACCCGTCTGTAGTCTTCCTCCACGTACCTCCACGTACCTCCAGATGAACGCCAATCAGCTTCGACGTCACCTCGAAACAGCCACCTCGCATAACTTCACGCCAGCCGTCGCGTTCCCATGCACATCCGTCTAGCCGACACAGCCCGCAGCGAAAGCGAACGTCCGCGGCCACGTCTTTGGGCCAATGAGTCGTGTTGATAGACCGCATTGGGCCACTCCCGCGTGCCGAGGCGCCGCGAGGCGGCGCTCAACATCTGAGCTGAAGATCGAACCCACTTTCTGGTAGCGAAAAGCTTGCCTAGACATCCAAAAATGATGCTATCAGAGGCCGGTTTTAGCAATTTATAACGAACATGAGGTGGGTGAAAAGAGGGGTAAAAGGTCCCTGAAGTGGGTAGGTTTGGCGGGCGCTAGTTTAAGCGGGGCGGTACCAGGTTTTAGGAATGCAAGTAGGGAAGGCTGCACGCGCGTGGCACTTGCAGGCATGAAGAGAGATAACGAAATACTACATTCGGTATGTCGCCGGTTCTGGTGTTTTATTAGTTAGTCAGGTGTTGATATCTAGGTAGGTGGGTGATTTGCAAGGGCATGTTTGGGATGTGTGCGGAGCGTACTGCAAGATCGTCATCGCTCACCATAAAAACGACGCCAAAAAACACGTAATATTCCTCCGAGAACTTTTCAGAGAGGACGGAAATCCCTAACGAGGACTTGAACAGGCTTACATCTATTCGAGTGAGGGAGTTTCGCATCCAATGTCACCTCATGTATTTCCAACTTAAAAAATGGGCAAAGTCATGCACGCAGCCATTAGGAAATAGCTTTTCATTCGGTCCAACGTTTGCTGCGTGCCTATCATTATTTTCAATTCATTACGCACAGATCGTGCGTTACAGCCTTTCATTAATACATTAAACATCATGCAACTCGGAAATTGCGTTGTATTCCACCATGAGTAACTAGATCAAACCAATGCCAAGGCCTGCTGCGCCGACCAGCCATCCCACTAAGTTGCCAGTAGGAAGCGCGGCAGCACCAGTGAACTGCGCGATGCTGGAACTTGGTGGTGGTGCCGAAACAGTTCCGTCTGAAGGTGTCCTCGAGTTGGTAGTCGTGCGGCTCGAGAAGACTGGTGGGAGCAGTGACGATGCTAGCCGTGAGGAGGATGGAGATGGAAGTGGTACTTGAGAAGCGGAGTCAGCACGACTGCTTTCAGGAGGCGCACTACTAGACGGCTGGGGAAATGAGAGTGAAGAGCTCGGTAGCACAGGAGCCGCGCTACTGGGCTGAGGAGTCGCACTGGGAATAGGAACGGGAGCGTTACTTGACGATGCTGGAAGATTCGAAGCGGGTGGGGATGGCGATGGCGATGGCGATGGCACGACTGACGGAGCTGCTGACGACGCTTCAGCGCTAACTGGAAATGCCTTCACATTGGTTTCAGTAACACCAACGTTAGGCACGGCCGAGAGAGTTGTTGTGGGTCCCAGGGTGCTTGTGCTTCCTTCTGAGGGCCGTCCGACTATTGGATCGCATGCACCAGCACCAATGCGGCCACCGAGCTGGGAAGTGACGGTAGGAAGGCTGTTCAGGTAGTCTACTACCCGCGGTGCCACATAAGCTGGATCAGGTATCAAGGACTCGGCCAGGATTAGAGATGTGTAGGTAGTTGGAGACGGTAGAACTAATGGGAGTGTCGTGGGAGAACAAACACCCCCAACTGGCGACACTGTGACGCGATTGAAAGTCACATAAGCAGCGTAAACTGTCGGCCAGGTCAAGGTGACGTCTTCAAATACCCAGGTGATTGGAGTTGTGGTGGTCGGGAGTGGCTGAGTATACAGGCTCGAGCTTACTGTGATACCAGCAGTGTTCGTGAAGAAATCCAAAGTCACCGTTGGGCGAGTGACGGTACTGATCACGACGTTACCAGGATATCCCAATCGGCTTGCGGTGACATCAATTTGGCACTTGCTTGTGCAAGTGATTGATGGTTGGAGAGATGACGCCGGACTAGAAGAGATCAAAGGCGGAGAAGATGACGCTGGGGTTGGGACAAGCGTTTGAACCACGGTGGTGGTGATCGGGACAACTTGTGTGATGGTCAGAATCTGAGTCGCGAGGATTGTCGACACGAAGGTGGATCCTGGAAGCTGGGTGGTGAAAACGAG